GGTATTTTCAGGGCAGCACCTAGCTGCGGGAGGCAGCTCCGGATTTGCCGTGTCCATTGCAGCGCTGCCTTAGCCGTAATCGGCGAATGCAAGTTAGGCGCTGGAATAAACTAGGCGCTGGAATAAACTAGGCGCTGGAATAAGCGTTTCAACCTAGAGCTTGGAAACTCCTTTTACCTGCTCCAGCCACAGAAAAGTTGTTGAGCAGTGCCTCCTAATGCTTGTGTAAAGGTGATCCTGCAGGTCTTCTAACACGCTGTTACAGTTTGCACACCGTGTAAATAATGTATTGGTGCTGGGTGTGGAAAAACGACACTTGATTTTTAGTGCGTGGAGTCCAGCTGGCAAATCCATCCCAGCAGCAGTGACAGAATTTGAGTCCTCTTTGGAGAAGACGTCTGTCAGGGTAACACAGACTAAATCTTGAGCGTGCATTAAACGGAAAGGAAAACTAGCATTTCCTGAGACAGCAGTCTTTGGTGATGATTAAAAAGCGTGTTAACACGGAATGAAGAAAGAATAGTCTGCCCAAGTCAGTGGCCATTTCCTAAAGGAGATTAGACGTGCTCAAAGTACACAGTAAGAAATTTCATTAGAAAAGTTTGTCTAGTTTTAACCTAGGATTTATGGTAAGCTTTCAAAAGACTAGCTTTCTGCCAAAGTAAAGGTGAGCTGTTCAGGTACAGAAAAATTTCAAACCCCTCCCTAACTCTACAATATATTGGGGTTTCAGTACTGAGCAGATAAACATCTAATCTCTTTGGGCCTCTGCATCCAATCCACAAAAATGGGCTGATAATTTTCTTTTACAGCATGGCGCTGCTGATGAATTCATTACAGGGATTTTTTTTTTGCATTTCTTGATTATTACAGTGCTGAATTACCTCGGAGTTCTTGTGTTACCCTCTGAGCTTTGTCAGACTATTTTCTATGCATAATGTAATAGTCTCTTCCTCTAAAAGGTTACGATTCAAGCAATAGACAAGCAGTGAAAGGGAGGAAGCCTGTAGCAACAAAACACTCAAGGACCACACTCACTGAAAGGATATTTGGTATATTGCCTAGCGGTGATCAACCAATACTGCTTCCACAGTCTATGCATTTAGCAAAAAGGGCCAGGAAATTAAAATGTTATGGCATATTTCCTCCTTAGAACAGATGACAGGTTTAGCCTCCTGGGGAGAAGCCCTGGAAAGTGTGAAAGAGCAGTCTGTCATAGCAGTTACCAACTCTATGGGAAACACTTCTGGTCTTTCTCCGCCTTGAGCTCTGTCACAGTCCACTGTTAGTCATGACCGGAAAGCTTTAGTGGATGCCCTGCATCCAGTTACCTTACTGATAGTTGTGCAGAGAGGATAAGACTCTTGGGCCTAATTAAGTTTCTTTAGCACCCTGGCATCATGCACCTTTTCTCTCCATGCCTGATCTGAGTTCTTGAACCTACCCTTGTGTTTAACCAAGCCCAGCTATAGGGGCTTTTCATCTCTTCATGCCCTTTTCATCTCTTCCTTTACGCTGGCAATTTGCAAGCGTATTGCTGCTGACATTGACCTCAGTATGGTTTGGAAAGCCTTTTCTATGAAATTCAGGGTTTAGTAGTTCAAACTCGTTAATAACGTACGTTCATAACCCGTAAGAGAGCAGGTTTTTATTAGTCGTGCCCATTTCCAATGTGGTACCAACTCTTGATTTACCAGGTGAGAACTAGTTAGCCACGGACCATTCGCGCGTTGAGTGGAAGGTTTCCTAAGCACAGCTGCAAACCGCATTCCCTCTTTTATGGCCTACCTCATTGGCATTTCTAAATGCTTGAGGGTGAACACAGGCTCTTGTCATAGTTCTGTGAAAACCTGTTTCTTCACAGGGAAGCTATGGAAAATAGTATCGGTTGTCCCAGCTTCTCACAGGATTTGGTTCCGCCCACTCAGCAGGATTGTTCCTTCGCCAGGAATACTGTTCTGCATACATGGAAATAGCGAGCATTGAAGCATAAATGATACCTTTCCAGTCTAGAGTAAATGAAGAGTCTCACCATCTTCTGCAGCTGAGAAATGGCTGTTAAATGCTGTTTATTCTGGAATTTTATGGATTATCTGTTGTGCTTTCTGCAGCTCCAGCCACGAGAAGAATGACCCCACTCAACATGTCGATAGCTTGGCTGCTGGCTGGAACAGCTGGAATTTGGGAATACGCAGAATCGAATCCAGCCTGGGCCGCTGAGATTGCCAGGTTAAGAAGTGCTCTGCACCGGCTTGGAGAATCGAAAAATTTCTCCATCTAAGCTGTGAGACAAACACCAGTGTGTACGTATTGGAAAGAAAACACACTAATCCCGTCTAATGTGTTACAGACTCTGAGCGTGTGGAGGCCTTTGCTGGCACAGTGGCCCAGTCTGTAGCGTTAGCTCAGTTAACTCCTCTCCCCCTGGTCTTTTTTAAGGACATGGAGTAATAGGTACAAGCTTTCTTAACCTACTTCAGGCATACAGACATAAAAAATAAGAGTTAAAGTTGAGGCATGTAGAGCCAAGAAACTCAAAAGGTGCCCTCAAGCTTCTTTAGGTTTTATTTATAGAAGTACTTGACTGTAGAGGAATCAATCCTCTACCGGGAAGGAAAACCTTGCAAACTTGCAAGATCTACAGAAAATTATATTAATTGCTTCGCTATTGAGGAAGTACATTGAGATAACTATCTCCTTAAGAGACCTTCCCTGTCTTCGACACCACAAAATGTGCTGGATGTTATTGTGTGATTGAGAGCTCATATATTCTAATCTTGGAGCACAGCCACAACTGAGTATTAATACTTTAATATTGGATTGAAGTACGTACTTTGAATTTCTAATTGAGCCTTCTTATGCTTAGCAGTCACCAAAATGACTGTTGGTTTCTTTTAAGCACCGTATATCCTTTGTGCTTTATACAAAGGGCAGGGGGAACTTTTGTGGTTGTTCAATATTACTAATCAGCAAGCAAGTGAATAACTCAATCAAGACTTAGGTCCACGGGGATGCCAACACCACTATGGAGCCACTTTTATTTCATTAAGCACTATAAGAGCACAGGATTCAGGTGCGTTTCTTTCATTCACATGATCTGGCTCTAAAGATTAACTTGTGAAAAGTAGTTTCCGTGTAAGTGTTTGATTCTCCATAATATATTAGTTCAGACTGGGATTTTAGGGATGACAATGTTGTTATAGGGTAAAATCACTAACCGGACAGTTCATTTGTCAGACCGATTGGCAGACCAGCTGGGGGTAAATGCAATACTCTGGATTAATAGAGATATCTCCAAATTAAAAAAAAAAATATTATTGAATTGAAATGCAATTATTTATTGAAATGACAGCATGAGTGGCTCATTATGATGCTTCTTTAAAAAAAACTTGTGCATGCCGAAAGCCATCTAGATACAGGGAAAAGAAGAAGAAAGCAGTGCAGCTTAGAGGTGGAGCCAGGTGGCTTCAGACTATTGGAAACCTGTTCAAGAAGCGCCAGTGAAGGAGGCTAGAGTTACATGGTTGTGTGTGCGATTTGTTTGCCTAGAAGGGGCTACGGAGACAAGCAGGTAGACAAAGCTAAAGTGTAGCCTTTGTTTTCACTGGAAGGAAAGTGGACTTTGTTCATCTGACTACCGTCCTGGTGTGAAATACTGATGGAGAGAAGGAATGACAGATTTTTACTGAAAGCCTGAAACTGCTTCTGTGTATTAGTGTCTTTGCTGGTTTACTTTGCAGTAAAATGACGGTTTTATTTCCATTAGAATCACAGAATCACAGAATGGCAGGGGTTGGAAGGGACCTCCGCAGATCATCTAGTCCAACCCTCCTACTAAAGCAGGTTCACCTAGAGCCCCGGTTGCACAGGACGTCATCCATGAGGGTTTTGAATATCTCCAAAGGAGACTCCACAACCCCCCTGGGCAGCCTGTTCCAGTGCTCTGTCACCCTCACAGTAAAGAAGTTCTTCCGCATATTCAACTGAAACCTCGTATGGTTCAGTTTGTGCCCATTGCCCCTTGTCCTGTCGCTGGGCACCACTGAGAAGAGTCTGGCTCCGTCCTCGTGACATCCACCCTTGAGCTATGTGTACGTGTTGATGAGATCCCCTCTTAGTCTTCTTAGGATTTTACAGCAGGATAATTAGCATGCAAAAGATACTGTTTTACTAAGAAAAGTTTTTGGCAAAGAAGAAAAGCCCAAAATAGGAAGTTGCACTGATGCTGTTAAAACTTGATCAGAGCCTGTAAAAATACAGTTGTAGCTGCTAAAAAGTAAATGTCCATTTCTTGACTTACATGAAAGCTTCTTTCTGCTATTCTTTCAATATAGTACAGTTTTAAAGCAGTCTAAACTGAGCATCTGAAGATCTCACTGGCATGAGGGAATTCTCAGCTAGAAAAAACTGGTACATGGAGAACGTAACTTTGGAAAAACTGATGTGCTGGAGTTCTGTGATTCTTAGCAATCTTCCTTTGGCTTCTGACAGCCCTCCAGATGTTAATAGAGATTAATAGAAATGTGAGGCTCCTTGAAACTCTTGTAAAGTTTTGCAGGCACTAAGGTTTCAAGAAGATCAGAGGACAGCAGCAATTAAAAGATTTTTTTTTGGTCTTAACTCATGCTTTTTTTTTTCATGTGTGTGCTAAGAGGGGTCTAATTCATCTGGGATTGCACTCAAAACCACTATGTCTGCTTTTCAGGAATTACTTACATGTGTGATCCTGAAAGTTATTCAGTTGTCCAGATCAGGGAGACCTGCTGGAATGCACTGTGATTACTCTGATGGCATGCCTCTGTTTCCTTCTATGGTGAGGGAGGTTGCAGGGATGAGCGGTGCCCATCCAGCTCTGGTCTTGGCATTTGCTCAGAAAGAGACCAGAGTATATATTGACGCAGCCAAATCGGCTGTTTTCTAAGCCTCGAGTTTGCATGTAACCATAGTGCACCGTGCTGTGGTAGTTGCTAGTGGTTATGCTCACCAGTGTTCAGCATGGCTCAATTTACCAGAGTCCAAACACCACCTTTGTCCTGTTTCTGAAATGGTGGAATACCCAGCCCACGAGAACAAATTGCTCTTATTTGCAGAGGTTTCTATACGGGGTTTGGTTGGAAGATTGGAGAACAGTGCTCAACTCTCTGTTTAGCGGATGCAGTTAGTGGTCCTAACTCTGAAGAATACTCTATTCCTGAAGTCCACCAGCCTTCTGCTGCGGAGTGCCCCCTGACACGCTGAATGAAAAAAGAGCAGTCGCTTACCCTACAGATAGCGATTTCTTCGAGATGCTGTAGTCGATGTGACTTCTAGGGATGAAATTCTATTCCCACATTTATACTAGGGGATATTTCAGTATCCACAGGCTTCCAGTCATGAAGAAACAGGGAGATTTGTCATTACTTCTTAAACTGGAATACCAGAGGCACTGGCATGACTATTCACAAGTACTGGAGCTCGTGCTTCCAGGGAGCATATTCACAGGCAGTGTAAACCACACTGCCTACAACATTACAAGGAATTATAGGCACTGTATTAAATAATCATTATTTCTCCCAAATTCATAGGATTTTTAACTTTCCTCACACTTTACCCTGTTTTCCACTTTGGGAGAAAAAGAAGACAATTACACGCTACGGTCACCAAGCCAGGCAGTGTTGGAGGTAGGCAGGCTCGAGCTGATACATCATATTGGACATTTACAGTGCAACTAGATGTTTGTTACAGGACAAGACAACCACTGCTTATTATGTCTAAAATTCAGTTGTTTGCCTGTCATGAGATCAGTTTGTGTAGCCTAATGCATTAATTATAGTTATAAGAGCTCAAAAACCCCCATGGTATTTTGCTTGTACAGCTCTATTTTCAAAGAAAATAACAGCGTTTATTATTTTTACCATACTTAAGATGTTCCTTGTTATATTCGTGTTTTGATTCCAGTAATTTAGAGGTGATAAGCGTATGAGAAATATCTGTGTTCCCAGATTTGTTGCCTACGTCTCTAGATTTGCATTAGTCTATGTCATCCTATTCACAGTAATTACAACCCTAGGGAGTTTCATGATAAAATGGGCTCATTTGAAAACAAAACGCTGTGTAAGTGGGATTGGATATAAATATTCACTATTTACATGGAAGACTGAGACTACTCCTGTTCAGTGAAAAATTGTGGTGGGTTGTTTTTTTTTTTTATTTGTGTAGTGCATTTAGTCTGAAGAGACAGCTACAGTATCAGGTACAGTGACTTCAGAGCCATATTAATGTCATCACTATTCTCTTTGTTTGATCAAGTCTGATTGCATTAGGAGTGTAGGAAGGACTAAAATGTAGGTAGGAGTAAAAGGACTTCCCAGGCTGAGCCGCCTGCTACCAAGAGAAACTGTATCATTCAGTCCTTTGGAAGGTTTATCACTTTCCAGCATAAAATGAGTTAGGTTTCTTGCCCCTGCTCTTCTATAGGAATGCTGTTGTAGCAGTTGACTCGCCTCATGGTTGCACACCTTCTTTTAATTTGAAGCCTAATGTATTAGTTGTTAATTTATACATGTTTGTTCTTGGGCCAAAGTTATCCTTTACCCTAAATAGCTCTTTCCTTTCCTTACTGCTTTTTGACCATCAACCTACTGGCAATGTGTACACTAATAAAGAAAACAGAGACGAAGCATGGGCTCAAGTACTGGCATGCAATGTTCTCTGGAGTTTAAGTTTTAGCACTCGGTTCGGCACAGTTTTGGTCCAGCCAGCTGGCGTTCTCCAAATGTGAGCTCAGCCA